AATACTGAGTCTGATAACATTCTTACCGGGAACCACAGGGTTTTTGTTACATGTGGAATATAAACTTCACAGCAACGACCAGTACGACACCAGCGCCGCTAAATCCGTTGACGCTGCCAATCCCCGAAGACGTCAAACGACAAATGATAAGCTGCATCGAGCAGAACTCGAGCACGCCAGCCACGGAGCGCTGCGCCATTCCGGTCGAGCTTCCCCCACTGCTCAGGATGGTGCTTAACATTACAGGTGATTTAAAAAAACATTTGTTCGGTTCACATGCGGTATAAGTGAAACCTTCAGAAACCTAAACTTCAGGAGAATGAGACGCTAAATGCTACGTGTACCGCGTGTGAGCTGCACACATGTTTTTTTTAATATGCTTAAGTTGGGTCTACGCTAGAGGAGCCAAGCACGAGGTGAGCACAAGATGAGCCGCTCTACTTGCGGTGTCAAGTGTCGATGCATGCGATGGAGTAGCATGCATTTTGCCAACAATGAGGACTAAGAATAATTTGTTTGCATTAAAAAGAGTATCCCGTTATCTACACTCATCATACGGGATACATCAGAAGTACACTGCCATTTAACGCTGATGAACTATGCGAGATGGGTCCTTCCGAGAAGCGAAAATATTTGTACTGCGGCGATGTTTTATTAAGTTCTCTTTCCGTACCCTGTCATCCAATACACTACAATCGCTTTATGATATTTATGATATCATATGTGGTAGATCCGCTCTGCAGCTATATTATGGTTGTAGCATTATGGTTGTACCAGCGTAAAATAGCAGCTATATGCCGCTGTGTTTCGTATGGAGAACCGGAGACCCTTTTTTACTGGAAATGAGGCATTTCATCTTAGCCCTCAGGGGTCACAACGCATCTGCGTTTTGATTCTTAATCGAGGATAAATTTTGATGTCTATGGGCCACAGCATCCACTTACCATCAGGTGGACTGTGTGCTCGTTTGTCACTTTTATTCTATAAAAAAAGAAGATAAATTCTTAATTATTGTTTTTTCCACAGAAGACAACGCCACGGCAACTGTAAGCTCCTCTATACAGACAGATGCCAGCAGTGATGTGCCAACAGATCCATCCACGTTACCAGATATATCAACTACTTCAGCCCCAGAACCAGATCCCAGTGTCCAAGCTTCGAACATATTAGAAAAATTATGGTCTGATGAAAGTAAAAAGCAGTCAAAATTCCTCCCTTCGGAGGCCGTCAAATCCGTTCAGAAACGCTCCGCCAATGATCCATTGTTGAAAGTAATGAAATATTATGTCAAAAATAAACTCTGGGATGGATCAAATCTTAAAAGGAGTAAAATTGAGAGAAATAAAGAGGATTTCAATGTCGATAATAATATAACCAAACCGAAATCAATTCAGAAAAGTTCTGATTTTGGAAAAAAGCCAATATTGTTGCATATTCCAAAAAAAACACATAAAGATGTCGGTCTTTACGTAAAACATATATCCAATGTTCATTACAACACAGATAAATCCATAAAAGAAAAGTTAGAAACGCATACAACGAAAATGCGGAAAAGCGCTACATTTATAGTAAATAATCAAATTAAAAAATCAAAGAAATCTTTAAAATCGAAACAAAAAAGGTCCATTAATTATAAAAATAAGATAACTGTTCGTGAACCAGAAGATCCGACGCAAGATATCAGTTATTATGTTAAAAACAAGCCGGGCACGAATATTAAACCATCTGTGGCAGGGGCAATTGAAGCAAGGTTGGGCTTGGAAAGAATTTTCCAAACAGGCAACATCGAAGTAGTGAGAAGATATGGCTCCAATTACAACCCTTTGATTCCATCGCCGTTCTATTTCGGTGTTATTAAAACAATTTCTGATGTTTAAAATATTAAGATATGCACTTGTTATTAATATTTTTTCAGATGTGAGTATTTTTTTACTGGCTGATTTTTCCAATCACCAATTAAAAAATGATTCATAAGATAAACATTAAGAAAATAATACAGTTTTATAAACAAAATAGTTCAATTGTTTCATTCACTTTTTTATTCAGTCATATGTACTTTATTTAATGGATAACTTTATTATGACGATTGAAAAATAGACCCTCAAGTCCTAGGTCCATCTAGAATTTTTAACGCTTTTTCATTATTTTTTTTGTTTGTATACTCACAGTGTTTATTATAATTCCACAAACATTAAAAATAAAATTTATATTTCTTAATATAAATTATACAATTATGCAACAAAATATACTTAAGTTATTTTTTAACTTAAGCTGTTACTATTCTAAAACGGGCCTTTGTTGTCTGCCAATAAATGATTATTATTATTTATATTTTCTACGTTTTCTCAGTTTGTTTTTAACAAAACTGGATTAATGGTTATTACCACGGGACAAAGCCAAGTGGATACCATGAACTTGTTTGGTTATGGGTAGTTTTCTGTAGAGATAAATTTAATTAACTGTTCTACAAGTATTAAGTAAAACTGCTTTTTGTAATTGAATATATTATATTAGTTTTGGCAAATCTAAAGTTTTTAATGATTGATGAAGCGATTTTGGTATTACACCAGTTGTAGAGAGAACTATAGGGACTATAATTGCGTTATGCAAATTCCACATTCTAATAATTTCATGTTTTAATTCAATGTACTTGGAAATTTTTTCATTAATAGTTGTCTGTAAGTTATGTGAATTAGGTATAGCAATGTAAATAATAAGAGCACATTTATTCACTTTATCTATTAATGTTATATCCGTTCTATTAAAGTGTATTGTTTTGTCAATAATTATAGCTCTGTCAAAATACATTTTGTGAGTGGTATTTTCAAGGACTATTTCTGGTTTATATTTATAGTATACTTGAGTTGGCTGGTCGGTTGATTTATACTTAAAGGCAAGTTTTTGGTGAATGATATTGGCTACTTGATCATGCCGATACTTATAGTCCGTCTGAACAATCACTTTACAGGCACCAGTGATGTGTTGAATTGTTTCTGAAGCATTACAACAGCGTCTACATGTGTCGGTATGTAAATTGTTTATTTTAATAATATGCTTTTGATAATTGCGTGTCTCTAATTGCGCACCTGCGTGTCCTGAATTGCGCACATAAAACCCTCATTCTCAGGGAAAAGCTCACCACGTTAAAGCCATGCGTTCGACGCTAATTTGTCTACGGTAGGTTGGTTCAAATCATGGCGATGTCTTCCATGTAGAGACTTTGGGTCCATATGTCAATTTTTGTGTTGTTTGTTTTGGACCAGTGTATTATGCCAAAGGAATAAGTTAGTATGGGAATTGCAAATGTGTTTAAATATATTTTTAGAATTTATTTTATATCCTAGAATATTTATTTTATATCCTGGAATAGCTTTAAATATATTTTTAGAATTTATTTTATATCCTATATACTTATACACTCCATTTTCCTCTAAAGATTTGTCTAGCTCTGTCCAGCTCTTACTGAATTAATGTTGCACTTATTCCACCAAATTCCATTCCAATATCTCGTGAAAATTTTTCCGTTAATATAACTAATTGATCTAATTCATCTTGAGTAGTAGCATATAGCTTTAGGTCGTCCATATACAAAAGATGACTAAGTTTTTTTCTTCTTTGTTAGTATGTAGATGATCTTGTGTTCTATGGTATTGTAAAGAGTACCCTATGTTTTTTGAGTTTAACATTTGTGATAAGGGATTTATTGCAAGGCAGAACCAGAGAGGACTAAGTGCATCCCCTTGAAAAATACCTCTCCTTATTGCAATAATATCTGTTTCTATCATTCCATCTAGTGAGTTAATTTTAAGTTTCGTTGTCCAATTCGTCATCGCAGCCTGTAAAAATTGTATTATGTTTGGGTGTATTTTGTATATTTCTAAATTTTTTAATAACCAAGTGTGCGTGATTGATCATAAGCTTTCTTATAATCAATGTACATGCTAAATAAATCTTTTCTTTTTGATTGTACCTGCTTTAATACTACTGCATCTATTGTGAGCTGTTCTTTGCAACCCTGACTAAATTTCCTACAACCTTTTTGTTCTTCTGACAATATGTTATTAGCTTCTATGTGTTCATAAATGGTTTCAGTTAAGCAAGATGTAATTATTTTGTACAATGTTTGTAAACATGTGATAGGTCTATATTTTGCAGGATTGTCAAGATTACTAGGCTCTTTTGGTATCATATACGTTATTCCTGAACTAATGTATTACGGCAAAGTATGCGGGCTTTTTATGAATTTATTAACAAAATCAAACAGAACCGGGTGGATAGTTGTAAACTTTTTATACCAATAGTTATGTATATTATCTGATCCAATATAAGTTATAAGTGTTTTCTAATATAAGTGTTTTCCAGTTATGCAGTTTTTTAATTACTTTATGTATCTATCTTGATGTGTTGAAATTGCATGGCTTTAATCTGTGATGTGTCTATTTGATTTTTGATTCACTCCGCTTCTGTATTATAATGTTTAGGTTCCTCCGATATTGTAGACCAGTAACTTTGTAATTCTCTCGGTGATGGCAAGATATTATTTTCGGAGCTTTTCAAACTGCTGATTTTATTTTTAAAAGGATTTTTTATATTACGGTAGAAAAGTTTTTCATTTGAGCAAAATAGAATGTTTTGAGTTTTTCGTAGAGAGCATGCTTTATATCTTTTTAACCGACTACTAGTAAGTTTTAGTTTTTGTTTAAGTGTGTCTAAAAAATGTTCATGTTTGGTGTTATGTTCTTCGTGGACAGAATGAATTTTATGTTGTTCGAGTATAGAATTTACGTGTTTGATTAGTTTTTGACCTCGGTTTCCATTAATATATTGTGTTAGCCTTGCAATTTTTGCTCTTAATTCACTTACTTTGTTTTCTAATCTTTGTTCCCACTTTGGCTTATTATATTTCTTTTGTTTCTCAGGTCCTAACGGATTATCAACTTGTATAGCTATTTCAATTTTAGCTCCGTTGAGCTTAGCTGAAGTCCATGCTGCACAGTACACTAAATTCTGAAATGTTTTAAATTCAATTTCGCTGTATAGGCGACTATTTTACTCAATTTTTTCGATGACCTCTGCTTTGGTATAAATTGTCTTTCTGTTGGGTTTGTATTAGCAAAATATTCCAAAGCTTTAGCGAACATTTCATCTATGGCAATTATCTTTTCCCTATGTAAATTTTCATTTTCATTTGTTGTGTGGTTTTCAGCATTTAAATCTAAACTTTCTGTATCTGGGTCTTCGTTGTCTGTGATACCTATCTGAAGTATTGAGTTGTCGTTGGCTTGTATATCGTTATGCTGTTCTTGCAAGTCATTCTTAATTAATTCTAAACGGTCAACACTTAAATATTTCTTATGAAGAATTAATCTTCTTTGGTCAGATATGCGTTGCTCTGTCAAATGACTTAAATGGGGGAATTGGTTTATAAACTCTTGGTGTAAGAGTTTCCTATATGCTATTTTATTTTTCTCACATTGAGTTATTTTGTAGTAAATTCTTATTATAGCTTCATTATATTCGTCTGTCCATTTCATGCGTTGTTGTGTTTGTAAAGGGTGGGTATTAGTGTGTTGATTATTTTGTGTAACAGAGATTGATTGGGCAAATGTAGTCTGTAAATTTGATTGCACTTTATTATAAATTTGATTTACTATTTCTTGGGGCAAAAGTTTGTTATTCATTATTGCTCTTCGCTGATCTCCTATTCTTTGACGAGTAACTTGCATATCTGGGAATCGTTCTATAAATTTCATGTGTAATGGTTGTAAATAACCTTTAGTGTCAGTATCCATCATTGTTAAATAGAGGTAAGTACGCAGTATAAATTCATTAATTTCAGAAGTCCATTTTTTACGCGTGTTACGGTTACTGATGGTGGGCACAGTTTCTATAATAGGAGTTATTTTCTGTGCATCATCCTTCAGCAATTGGCTACTTGATGATAATGAAGAAGATAAAGACTGGTGTGAAATGTTTGGTACCGATTTTTGTCTATCGTTTCCGGGGGTATATAAACTATAACTATCACTAAGGGTATCGGTGTCCGTGGATCTCGCTTGAGTCGTTTGACGGGAAATCTTCCTCGCCCGGAGATTGTATGCGCCCCAAGATTCAGTACCATCTCGGCTTCCGCCACAGTCGACATGGTTACTGAATCTGGCGGGCACTGGGGGCCGTAGTTTACGCCGTGCACTCATTTTTTTAAACCTGGTTTGGGATCGTTAGTTGGGAAAGGGTCATTAAATATTAATAGGCATAGAGATTATTCTGCCTTGTTATTTTTACAGATTATAGTTGTTCAGACTGCAGTTGAGTACATGCCTTTCCCTTAAGCCCCCCCATCACGACAAGGTGATCCCGTAGAGGGGTTATTATTATTATTATTAGTGTATTCTCATCTGGTTGGGCAGAATAAATGTATAAAAGGAAATGATAAATATACGTAAATATATATTTCATATACCAGCGCAAAGAAATAAGTAATACATAAATAAATAAAGGCCCAACCAGATGGAGGCTCTCGGCAGGGGAGACCAAACGGCAGAGGGTTAAGGGGAAAGGGAGAGAAACCGGCGGAAGATGCGGGTGGTATCGAGGAGCACCGCCTTCTGCATTTAAGCCTGGAGTGGTCCGTCACGGAGTCCCAGCCTCCTCAGATGACCCGAGAGGCTGGCTGGGATTAGCCCGTTTGCAGAAACGACTACAGGAATAATTTCAGTCGGCAGACCACCCCACATGTCAGTCACCTCGTGAGCCAGGTCCAGATATTTTGTTCGTTTATCTGTTTCGGCTTTTACGAGGTTCTCGTCATACGGAATGGTAATGTCGACAGGTTCTCTTATTATTATTATTATTATTATTAAAATATAATGTTATGAGTTGATATTTTTTTATTAACTTCGCAGCAGGCGTTTTATGTTGATCACTCTATTAGGTCCAAAGAGTATCATAAGAGGCAACAATGGTAAATAAAAGAAAAATATTGTTACTTGCGGGTGAGTGAAAATGACGATTAGGATAGAAAATGCATGTATTTTCCACATACTCAAAAATAAAATATAACGTCACTAAGCTTCTTCTATGAGGACCTCAATAATCGCAGATGTAGGTAGTCGCTTCCCACATCATCATTACAGCCTTTCACAAGTCCACTGCTGAACATAGGCCTCCCCCAGGTAATGCCACAAAGCACGGTCCTGAGCCACCTGCATCCATCGACTTACTGCATGTCTTACCAGGTCGTCACTCCATCTAGTGGGGGGTCGCCCTACACAACGCCTACCGGTACGAGGCTACCACTCGAGAACCTTTCTTCCCCATCGGTTATCGGTTCTTCGAGCTATATGGCCGGCCCATTGCCACTTCAGCTTACTAATCCGTTGGGCTATGTCGGTCACTCTGGTTTTACTGCGGATATCCTCATTTCTGAGTCTATCACGCAGAGAAACTCCGAGCATAGCCCTCTCCATAGCTCGCTGAGTGACCTTGAGCGTCCTCATACGGCCAGCAGTGAAGGACCACATCTCTGATCCGTAAGTCATCACTGGCAACACGCACTGGTTGTACACTTTAGTTTTCAGAGATTGAGGTATACCTGACGAGAAGATGTGTCATAATTTCCCGAACGCTGCCCAGCCGAGTTGAATCCGTCGATCGACCTCTCGGTCGAAGTTGGACTTACCTAGTCGGACTATTTGTCCCAGATAAACGTAGTCGTCAACAACTTCGAGCATAGTGTTCCCAACAACTACCGGCATAGGTGAGACATGGACATTAAACATGATCTTTGTTTTGTCCATGTTCATCTTAAGACCTATCCGTTGGGAGACACCATTGAGGTCATCGAGCATAGTGCTAAGGTACTCCAGCGTTTCTGCCATAAGGACTATATCGTCGGCAAATCGAAGGTGAGTGATGTACTCGCCATTGATGTTAATACCGTATACTTTCCAGTCCAGTATCCTGAAAACGTCTTCCAAAGCAGCGGTGAAGAGTTTCGGGGATATCACGTCACCCTGTCTTACACCTCTCTGCAGTTGGATAGGTTTCGAGCTCTGATTCTGTACTTGGATAGCCATCGTAGCCCTACTGTACAAACACTTCAGCACTTCGATATACCGACAGTCAACTTGTCACCGCTGAAGGGACTGTAGCATCGCCCAAATTTCGACGGAATCAAAGGCTATCTCATAGTCCACATACGCCAGGCAAAGTGGCAGATTGTACTCTTCGGTCTTCTGTACAATCTGCCGTAGGGTATGTATATGGTCTATAGTACTGAAGCCTTTTCGGAAACCGGCTTGTTCGGGAGGCTGGAAGTCGTCGAGTCTGCGTGCGAGACGATTCGTAATGACTCTCGAAAACAGCACGTAGACGCGGCTCAGAAGGGAAATCGGTCTGTAGTTCTTCAAGAGAGCGCTGTCGCCTTTCTTAAAGAACAAAACCACCGCACTTCTACTCCACGCCTCCGGAGTAGTACCACCATGGATGACGGAATTGAAGAGCTTCTGAAGGACTTCAAGTACCGGTGTTCCACCCGCTTTCAGAAGCTCTACTGTAATTCCATCCTCGCCTGGGGCCCTGCCGTTTTTAAGGTGCTGGAGAGCCATTCTAATCTCGCTCAGACTGACGTCCGGGATATCATCGGAATAGTGTCGGATAAGACTTGCTCTTGGATCGTTACTCACACTTGCGTGTGGCTCCAACGATGATGTGTACAGCTGCTCATAGAACCTCTCAATCTCACTCAAAATCTCAGGTGTCTCGGAAACGATGCTGCCACACTCAGTCTTCAGCTTTGACAGTTGGCTCTTTCTGGCAGACAGATCCCTGGCAAAGACTTTGGAGCCCTGGTTCCGCTCGATCGCTTCTTTAATAAGTCGCTTCCCACAGTCATTGAGTTATATATACTACGTACTAGAGAATATGCAGTGTAGAAGTAAGGAGAACAATCTCTCATAGGAAAATGGTTGAAAAAGTGTCCATCTGTAAGCAATAAATAACAGTTCAAAAACTCTCCACCATAGCGCTCGAGTAGCTACAGGGATGAAATGAACTTAGCAGTTGTCGACGGTTTGAAGTATGTTGCTAAACTGCTCAGTAGCTCTAAAATCTAAAACAATTTTATTTAAGTAAATATAACCTCGAAAAAGTCATCAATCCCACTAATATTTTCGGCACGTTCTTTAAAATTTAACCCGTAGCTATAGTGGCGCCACCCTTATTTAACGGTTTTCTACGGACACTTTTTAATACACAATCTGTACTCCTTACCTTTACCCTACTCTGTCTTCGCGTATGCTCTGGAAACATTAGAGTCGCGCATGCGCAGTTGATATTAACGCGCGAAAATAGTCACAATAAATAATTGTTTATTTAGATTGTATAATTAATCGAGTATTTTTTTAATTTTTATTTATTTTGCATATGTGCTAATTTAATATAAAACTATTATTAGCGCCGCTCCGCACTGAATGAATATCGAAGCAACAATAACAGGTGTACGGATTGCAGTGCAGTTTAGTTGAACATAGTGAGTGTTCGGAATGCGAAATCTAGTGTGTAGTACATGTATATCGATGCCCATTGTAGAGTTCACTTTAGCGTCCCCGAAGTAACTAACTTTCCGATCGCCGGCATGCGTTTTTATACTTGATAAAGGCAATATAGGACCTTCTAGGCCAATCTAGGTCATTCCACTCTTTAAAACGGAAAGTATTAGAACGCTTGCGATAGCATTACGGTTACAATATCCAAAGGAGAAAAGGCTTTAAGAATGTAGCCATAAAGGTTCCTTTATTTTGTATTGATAGTCCGAGCGTTATTTATTTTAACGCCAGCACATTTTATTACTTAACAAAGGCCGTTAAGAGGAGTATTACAAAAAAACGCGAAATTACAAGGTGTCCTCGTTGAAAATATATGTTTTCCGTACGTTGCTTAAAATAACAATTACTTGGTAAAAATAGTTCATTTTCGCTACTACAAAAAGCTCGGAGCGTAACTTATTTATTTAGTAATAATCATTCTCCCGATGCATGTTTAGGCCAAAACTCTGGGAGACAGGATTTGGTTTGTAGATTCTATTGAATATCAAGTATCAACACTATGCTACCGTTAGTAGATATTGTTACATACATTGGCAGAGTTGAACTCGGCGACACAAGCGAAGCTTCGGAGCGGAATTAAGTGAATTAGTGTGTTTAATTATTAGTGTTTTTAGTTTTAATTTGTGTAAAGTAAATTAAAGTGTTAATTTAGGTAATTTTATCGGCAATTTTTATTGTCACGAACCTCAAGCTCGTAACAATTGGTGTCAGAAGTGGGATAAAATAATGCCGATTTTACCTAAGGAGGAAACGGAGGGTGTCCGTACCCGAAGTCAACGCCAACAGGAGACGGACCAACGAAGATTTGGTGGTGCAACGCCGCAGACGTCGGAGGGCCAGCCACCGGCTGCAGGCCCGTCGGTAGCTCCTACATCTGCAGTACCTGACTTAGGTGCTCTGATGGTGATGCTGCAGGAGCAGGCTCG